ATTCCTGAGAGCCTCTGAGTTCCGAAGTAATATTCTCTACTAGGCTATGCCTAAGGCTGAATTTTCTGCCGAAATTCGTTCATTAATTTTGCTGATGTCAAGGCAAATTGAATTTCTTGAATTCAGGCGTCATGAATCGTTGTACAAAAATTTGGATACGGATAAACTGCTGAATGAAGTTGGTCAATGTGGCTTCTATCAAATCGTTTCCTATGTGTTGTGTCAACTTCTAAATTTTCCTTATGCTGCATCACAGTTCATAATGCCTTTTATTCAAACGCAACCTGCCGCTGTGTGCATATCATCTAATGGTGTTGGTTCTTGATTTTTATTTACGTTTCGATGAGTCTACGAGTTTTGAGTTATACAACCAATATGGCTGAATTATATAATCGCTTTGATTAGACTGGTCTTCGATTTGTGAGACCTATGAAAGCTGGAAGAATACTTGCTAGATGCTTGTAAAGAAGTCTAAATGAGCGGTCTGTAAATGTCTCCTCTTTCATTGGAAATCTCAATTTATTGCTTACTATGTGATTCGTTCTACGTTATCGGTCTCATCAGTGGTAACAGATTCGAAAAAGATTTCAAATCCGTGAGGTCGTTTCATTCTTACGATGCATCTTCAGAGTCAGCTTGTGGATCGTTGCATAAACCTCACTTCTACAGACGCATTTTCATGGTGTTCAACAAAAAAAGTTCCAAAGTCTTTGCTGAGGATCGATCCGTCATGGAAAGACAAGAGTATGCTGGTTGAGGTATCTCTGCTCTAGCTTTCTGACAAATTTTGAAACATTTTGGTCATTTTGCTCTCATGAACGCTTTTTCTGGTGGCCCGATCTTATTCGTGATCAAACGATGACATAAATAGATGTTCAGCGTTTATGATCACTTTTCAAATTTTCCATTTTTGATCGAATCATCATGAATTCATTGTTGCCATAAGTAATTCATTAAAAAAATTATTCTGCCAGTTCTACATGCTGTTGAAACAATATTCCAACAATTTTCGACAGACCGACTCCATTTTGATGTTGCAGTTCGACTTGTTATGCAGCAATCCGATAGTGCAAGAAGCTGGATTTTGTATATTTTCATTGGGTACGATATTTTTGTTTGTTTAGTGAATGTTGACTACTAAGAATAAGTGAAAATCAAATCGCTAATTAAGCTTTCGCTCACAAGTTATGGCGAGCAACTAACATTTCTAACAGAAATTCAGCTGCAGTGCAATATTGCTATTCAATGAAGTTGATTCAATCGAATTGGTAAAATTTGAATAATGTATCGGATAACAGAAATCTTGAATTGAGTGAATTGATCGTAGGTGCAATGTTAATTGTTCCGTTTGTTTCACAACTTGCTGATCTATACGGTCGTCGTACAACATTGCTGGTTACGTTATACTTGAGTGTGCTTTTCAACATCGTCGCAGCTTTTTCACCTAATTATTCTACGTTCGTCACATTGCGATTTTTTATTGGAGCCGCATCAGATGTTAGTGAAGTTTATTAAATTTTGATAATATCATCCAATACTCCAAGGTCTTTTCATGATTTTTCCGTTCACAAGATCATGAAGCTTTTTTTTGGAATCTTACAGGAACCTCTATTATTTCAATGGTTCAATTGCTTACTCATTTATCTTGACGAATACTGGTTCCTCTGACATGTTTATGATGGACTTAACTCTAAATTGCCTCAAAATGCTCTAAAAAGCCGCAAAGAACCAACATTTTGTTCAGAGCTACTTAACGATAGCATCAATATTGTCATGTGAAGTTGTTGCGAATGAATCACGACCGTGGACCGGTCTTGTTTACACGATTACATGGCTTCTGGGTTATCTTTATGTTGGATGGTTAACCAGATATATTTTCACATGGCGAATGCTATATTTAATCATGTCATTGCCTACTTTAATAACCATTGCCTACATTTTGTTAGTTGATTTCTTTCTGAACAGCCATCATCACTTCAACACCTTCGAATGGGTCATAAATAAAATAAGATGTGAAACATCAATGTGCATTAATTGAAAAAAATATCAGAAAGACTGGTATTCATGCAGAGATGGGTGATAGCTTAAGCGATTTCATCTGAATAATCATAACGGCTAACGTTCTGATTGCGAAATTACAATCGAACAAATTACAGTTCATGCTCGCACATGACTAACGATTTTCAGTATATTACCGGAATCACCATACTGGCTGATTGCTCATGGACGTATAATCGGTATCAAAAACTATATCAAACGATCAAATTGGTGAATCTTAATGAAAGATGCTCTGTTTTTAGTTTAGAAGATATACTACGTAATCAGAATGTCTTGGAACTTCGTGAAATGTGCTTTTCAATTCGAGTGTAGAGGTAACCTGATGATAGCAAATCAGTGACTGTAACACCATTGATATACTGCCCTGCCCATCTTTCAAATCGTATTCAGAAATAATGATCAAATGCTGTGAACAAATACTTTTCATCGCTTGAATTACGTCTGTGAAGGGTTCGGTGCATTAAGGATTCTATTCGGCTCTATATTGCCATTTTGAAGGCTGAATAGGCAAGATGTTGATCTACGAAAATGCACAGTGGACGAAGAAATAGCCAAAAAATCACAACGAGTTCAGAATCGAACATTTGCCGATATGTTAAAGTGGAAGCGTATTCTCTTCCATATTTTCACAAATGGCTTCATAACGCTAGTAGTTTTGCTCATTTTGGCTTCCATTTCAAAAATAATCCCAACAAGGAGNTGAGGTTTTATGAGACCAAGAGCATGTTCACCATTAACTAAAATTGCAAGTCATGGTTGAACCTAAACCTTCTGACAGTTGAGTTCGGTGTTCCATTTGTTAAGTGACAGTTTCACTCTATTCCTTGAACCACTGCACATTTCAGAATGGTAATGTCGTTCTACTACTATGCAATTTCGCTGGACAGTGTTAATTTAAGTGATGACAAGTACACTGGTTATATGCTATCCGGTGCAATTGAACTACCCGGTGGCATTATTGCAATACCACTGCTACGTTTCTTTGGAAGGCGTTCAGTTACTGTGCTTGCATTGACCGTTCAAGGAATCGCTATATCGATATCACCGTTTGTGAGAAGTGAGTTTGTCTGGAGAAGTTGTAAGTTACAAGATGCGATTGACTGATTGGTTGGTGGTTGATCTGATTTGGATCATTGACTGAATTGGATTATTGACTGGTATTGGATTGGTATGAAACTCTATCAGTTGTTCACTTCATACAATGGCTTGTATGATCATTTGATGAATCGATGATCCTGAAAGTGATCTCTGAAAGTGATTCCTGAAGGTGATCGATGAGACTTGCAGTGTTTTTGTTTGAGGATGGCATTGGGCACGACTCATCATCGACCTATCAGCGAAAATGGTCAATGGAATCGCATTTGTTTCACATCCGTTGTTGGTCAACGAAATGATGCCCACAACCATACGAACAACGAGTTATTCAATTATAAACATTCCGCAAAGTATTGGCATTATGCTCTCACCTCTTCTCAAGTATACGGTAAGGAGCACTCACTTCACATCCTTATAGCGATTGGTTGTTGAAGTTATCACAACTACAGTATTTCATCAGCATCCTAGTGGTTACGCTAAAGTTACGTTAGAATTAGTTTGATTTGTGACTTCAATGAAATGATGTGATCCTCTCTGTGGCATCTCAAGTATATCACAGTTATGTGAGCAATTGCTTTGACCCTCCTAATACGATGTAATGAATGATTTCAGGATCTGGGTGATGGCAAAGTACCTTGCCTAACACTCGCCTTCCTCTCATTCGTGTCAGCGCTTCTCACCTTGACTCTTCCCGAAACCAAGGATAAACCGATGCCTGAAGATTTCGAACAGATGGACGTCGGTCCACTGCTCCAACCGTTCATAAGAAATCGACCTCTAAAGAAGTCGAACAGAATCACCGACATCACTGAGCTGTCGTCGTCAAAATCCACGACACCATCCACATCCAGCTCTTTGATTTAATCGAAACTTTGATTTGAAAAAAAAAAGATAAATGAATCTCAAAACATCTTTTTTTGTCTCAAGTTCAATTCCAAAACAATAGCATATGAATCACATATGAATTAACCAATAAATCAATCTGTTCCAATCAAGATCAAAGCGATCAATATGCGTACGAGTAGATCAAGAACATGAGTGCAGCACCAATCTGTCTAGAAAACCACTGTTTTACACTAAGGCTATTGGCCAATTTCCTTTTCATTAAGATATGATTATTATGAGATGCTTGCTAACCAACTGAAGACTTCATCAATGAACGGTGACTCCCATGAATCTTCATCAACCTAATAATAAGAGTTGTTTCCTTTTTGGCTAAAGGAATTGTGTACTCAGCAGAACTTCCATATGTATTACCAGCGCATAAAAACCGACAACAGAGCTGTATTGAAAAGTTTACTGGACACATACGTTACACTTTACAAGCTTACAAGTAAAGGACGCTGTTTAGCAGAGGTATGACGACAATGTGAAAACGATAATTAGATTAGTAATCGCTGTGAAAACCGTACAAATTATCTCTCTTAAAAACTTAATAATATGCATACAAAAACATAGAAAAGGTCGAGATCACGAAAGCATAAAAAATACTAAGACAAATGTTAAGAAGGGAAGCAAACGAACACAAATCTATTCAAATAACTCAACTTATATCTTCGAGTAACAAAAAGCAAAACCCAATTCAGTACAAATCTCTCTCAGTTAAACATAATCCACGTTTAATCTGATAGTTTCAAATTTTCAACTATAAAATTTCTTCCGAGATCATTAGCTACCATCTGGCATAAAATACTATTGTTACTTAAACTAAAAACTTACAGTTACACTCTAGTTACATCACTCTAAAACGATCGATCCTATTCTATAAACTCATCAACGTTAACGCAAAAACTCATAATTTGCTTCCTCTGGTCATAATCGTAAAGATTTTAGCACATTTCCCCGCAACATATCATCAATCATCATAAAAAACATCGAATGTTATCGAAAATAAACACAAACAGTCGATAATATTTACAAAGCGTATCACTCAATGTTTTGGTAGTTCATAAAGGTTGACTCGTTAAGAGATCCACGTACAACTCCGATTCAAAACAATACACCATTCAATTTCCTTACTCAAATCGAATATCTTCAACACTAGCAAAGATATCAAGCGAGAACAAACCAAACCGCTTCTAGCTAATATTGTTATGCTCATGATGAGCTGCTCTACATTCGGATTGTCGTCGATCTCCTAACAGCAAGAGTCAAAACTAGGGCAAATTTCTAAAGAAATGCAGTGAAAAAAGTGTTGATTGTACTGTAACATTATGTGGGCGCTTTCGGACACATCACAACGATACAATATACCAAACTCAAACCAATATCATCAAGGTGCACAGTTGGGCGACTCAAACTAATTTGTTACTAAAGACACATGCATGCTCTTCTTATACTAACCAACGCAACAATCATTCACAACGTTCACAAAAAGCCACTTCACAAACTATTCATGTAATAACATACAAAATAACGTAACTTCAGCATAACACGAAACTACTTTCAATAAGTTAACTTTGAACAAAAAGAAAGAAACGGAGAAACAGTACAATCGCATATTTCGAACAAAATTGCTCAGTTCGGAGACGTTTTGAAACAAACAAAATAATTTTTTAAATGGAAGATTCCAGTGATGAGAAAGACTAGAGATAGTAGTTACATATTACTAGACTGTTCAATAGAAATGCATTTCTCCTATGACAGGCAAACCTATCAGTATAAGACAATATTAACGACAAAAGTAAATCAAAGAAGGAAGACCAAATTACACAAAAGTTCCATTTTGGAAAGAGAATAATAATGTTTTCAGTCACAACAGTCATTCTACTCGAGCTACAGCCACTCCGTATGAAACACATTACAATTATGAAATGTCTTTGTTAAATTACACGAACAACACAAAACTCTCAATCAAAACATTCTTCACAAATCAAATATTGCATCTTACGACACTATAAAACAAAACCAATTGCAAACGTAACAATAATCAAGAACTCATAGCAATAATCAAATCTTCTTAATAACAGTTGTATAACTCACAAATAAATAACAATGTCCCGTCGACCATCAGTTATAAGAGATATTACACTCAACCACTCATTATCATGCAAAGATCACATCTTTTTATCTCATTACGACAGGATTCACCCATATGCAGAACCCTACCTACATATCATCTACAATTCAAAGCCAGTTCCACAAATTCATCCCATTCCTTTCATAATGCTAATCGTACGGTATCCAAATTCAATTTCATTTCCAATATGAGCAGACATCGATCGCAACAACCTCCATGAACATTCCCAGTACGCAATTAAACCCATTCCCCGGATGACTGATTATATTGTATACAGACAGCTATACGAACAAACACAAGAAATACACAATAAAAGTTTCACATTCACATTGCGAAACAAAAACAAATGCATCGTGAATCATCGCATTGATTCATCGTTCATTTTTTAAATATCAAGCATTCGATGAGGATGCTGATGATTACCAATCAAACTAGCCGTTCTACTGCCCATACTTACACTGTCGATATCCGTCAACGTCCAATCGCCATGTCCATTCAGATGCAATTCCATATCGTGGAACTGTTTCAGGGAAAAGCGATGACCCACTGAGACATAAGAAATGCGTTCCTGTAAGCATCTTTCTATAAATCATTAGTCCATCCGTCTATTTGCCTTCAACAGAACCATTCTGATACCGTAAAAGAAAACAAATAAAACAACTGAAATCAAGCATCCCACTTTATGTGATATAAATATGGATTTCTGAAAGCTGAACTCCTTTCCCAATCGACAACATCAGTATCATTTTTTTTTAAACGCACACACATCAACAAGAGAACACTTTCCAGTGCTCTATGAATTAAACATGAACGCATAATTAATGAATAAAAACCGATAAATAAAAAATAACAAACGTCATTTAATAATTTATAAAGAGTCATCTCCATTTCAAACCCAATCGCGCTTGTTGCTTCGTCTAGGAACGCAATTCGTGGACGATGATATAACACCCGACCAATTGACAATCGTTGCAGTTCACCTGGTGACAGCGTTTCGGACCTCAAAACACAATAAATATTTGCTCAAAATAGTTCATTAATCTAAGATGACAACGAAACAACAAATAAAACGAAAGAATCAACTGAAGACAATCGAATCGCCGTCACCATCACTAAATCAAAGTAAGAGCCACTAACCAATCCCAATCAACAGGCGCATCGAATCCATTACATCGTTGAAGTAAATACTCAAGTTTGACCCATTCCAGAATTTGCGTTAATCGACCCATCTCTACAAATGCTTCCAATCAAAAATGGCATTTAACCGATATAATACACAACGATAAAGTTCATTAACATAAGCATAGAATAACTGCCTACAATCAGCTAAAACAGATTCAGAACATGTTCTACGCTATAACAACATAACCAATCAAACGATAATAATAATAACAACAATATCACAACCTTTCTCGATCGGAAGTGCCTTCAGTGGATATACCAGTTGTTGTCGAAGTGAACATCCACCGTTCGGAAAGTATGGCTTCTGTGGCACAAACAACAATGTTGACGGCCTCAATTTCCAATGCCTTTCCAGTTTTCCTACAAAATATAATTTCAATACATCACCTCAAATGTCACCAAACCTCACTCACCTGTTGCACAATTCCAAAGACCGGCCAGCACTCGAAGTACGGACGTTTTGCCAGCACTACTGTCTCCGGTTATCAACAAATTTCTGCCTTGAACAATCTGCATTGACAAATCTGAATGTGATTTCATGTTATCACAACGAAAACTCCTCAATGCACAATTATAATTTTCATCAATGCACAACTTNCGGTCACGACCACCATTCGTCCTAAAATTTCTGAATCCCTGTCAAATCAATTTCCCATCGCTCATTAATCCTCCATAATATCAGCAGATTACAACGAAAGCATCTTATCTTCTTTATTAAATCCATATACACGAAATAATAGTCTCATACTTACAAATTCACATCACAATACATTCAAATAATCAATTGAGATGTCCTCTCAAACAACATCAAATTCAACTCAAACCATCTAACCTCTGCAGTAGATATTCCGCTTCCTCATCATCAGATTCAAAATCGAACAAACGACCTTGCATTCCATGCAATTCCTCAATCTGAACGCATATCGTAAACATATGAAAAAATCATGAGAACAAACATATCAAACAATGACAACGCCACATAACATCAAATATGTTCTGATACGACATAAGCATAAAATGCCTAAATAATACTTACCCTCGGCTGTGGTATTTCATTATTCTTCTCATTGCTCTCTTCGGATGCGATCACAACCACCGACGAAGGCACTGTTGATGGCGGGCGATCAGTTTCCAATCGATCCACATGAAGTCGTACCAATTCTTCATATAAACCGATCACTCTGAAATACAAATCTCTATCAAATCACACAAATTTTTCTTTACCATTCATTCACCACAGCCAACAGCACATGAGGAATAATAATTTACTGCTTTTTTGCATGCTGCCAATGAACAGCTGCTGCGAATTACTCATCATTCTACACCCTTCCTTAATGCAAAACCATAAAATTCAAATATGATCAAAAAAATTTATGAATGCTGCAGCAGCAAAATCACAACGA